AGCTCATTTTCCAGACAGCAAACGCATCATGCACGCAAATCTTGCGTCTTATACCTTTCAATCGTTATTTCTAAACATCCCGTTCAGCCACTGGAAACCAAGTTTTCAAGAACATAGGAACTGTTAGTACTAATTTTATTGATATCGACAAATTGATAGCAACAATAAAGCCTCAGAATCTAGAGCACATATGAAGGCCAATAAAAGCAAAGGGTTATACCCGAAGTCTTAGCGTGAAAAAACAGATAAATAACTCACTCGTAGAAATGATAAAGATGACTGTCAAAATAACTGATGATGGAAAGGCACAAAACAGTTCACAATATTCTTCCTGGGATGCACACTAAAACTTCCACTAACTGCTCGAGGAAATAAGGATATGTCAAATACACGGAACCGAAGTGGGCAAATTACCATTAGCACAAGAATTGCAAATCTCAAGAAGTGAGATCTGAAAGACACTTCAAGAATCAGAGTTAGCAGAGACTAAGATGATAGGAGAAACCAACTTAAGAAGTTGGGTGATCTGCACCTGATTTCCACATTTCAGGTATCCTTTACCAGATGACTGCAACCCGCTTGTTTTGATGAATGTTAGAGTTAAAACCACAATCATAGAAAGGAAAACTATGAGAAGACTAGTGCATAATTCATTACATAACCAAAATAAAAATACAACTACACAGTTAGTTTAAAAATGCATTTGATTTAGATTATTCCAAAACAGATAAAGAACAAGTATGGCAATTACATTAAGAAAATTGTATGCACACCACAGACCACTGCATCGTGATTGACGCACCATAAAGTTCACCGATTCTTTGATAACCTGACACCAGAAAAATGCTAAGACGTAGTTCATAAATTTAATAAAGAAAGAGATAAATCGCAAACTGGCATCTTCAGCAAAGTGAATCATCACATTAACCACTGAATATATTACACCAAAAGAAAAAGGAAAAAGAAACAAAAACATAACCTAGAATCTGACTCAAAAGCATTAAGAGTTAAGCTAAACAAGAAGAAAACTTGATCAAGAAACATCAGCCGTTTCCAACGAGAAACAAAGACTTTAAAGAAAATATTAGTCAGAAGTATATAACCAGAAGCTGCAGAAGATAACGGCAACAATAGAATTCCATGAAAATGCCTCTTCAGAGAAGTGGCTCACATTTACACAAAATTAATCACTTATCCAAGCACTTCTCTCGAAGTTGGCCTATCATTAACAGTCGTTTCCTGATACATCCTCGTTTGATTCTCCACAGTCTGAATCCTTTACATCTGCAACTACGTTTACTGGTACAACTCTTCTCTGCTCTTCATCATTGACCGTGGCTTCTTTTCCAAACCCTGAATCCAAGTGCAAAGTACTACCCAAATTTTCATCCATATCCTCGCATTCATTTACCTTTCCCGATACAAATTCACTCTTCATTTCTATTTCTTCATATTTTGCAACATTGTCCTCCAGAATCAGTTCATCTGATTCCTTCACCATTTCATTCTTCACCGTGCATTTCTCTTCAACCATTCTCCCTCCCGTAACAGATTCCCCAGCACATTTCTCCCCACCCTCAATATCTAACGCTTCTTCGTCGTCAACATCAACATCTTGGTTTGCTCTAATCTCAGATGCATACTCCATCTCCAACCCTCCATCACTTTCATTCTCAGATACGTTCTCCACTACCTCCTCATTCACATCGTCAATAGCTGGGTTTTGCCCCTCAAGAAGTTGCAACTTCCTCCTCAAATCACCAATCTCTCTCTCCATAAGGAAAAGCCTCTCTTTCAGTGTCAAGTTCTCCTCCTCTAACTGAGCTATATGGCTATCCTGATCATCGACCCTATTCTCCAAACAGTTATTATACTCAACTCCATAGTTCTGGTATATCATTTCAAATCGGCTCAAGTCATGGTCCAATCTGCGTTCTACCTCCAGATGCTCCTCCACATCACTATCACTCGACCCACCACTGCCTTCCTCTTCTTCATCCTCATGCACTTCCGCCTTGTTCTCAGACCCTCTGAGCCTTATCAACCCTTTCATTGATCCATAGCCATCAACGCCCCACTCCTCCTTGGCCATATCACCCAAAGCCTCCCTCGAAGGGGAGAACATAGGAGTAGGAAGCACAGCTGGTGTTACGGGACAAGGAGACACAAGTGAAGCTATTCCACCGAACTTCTTGGCACGAATTATAAAAGACGTAGTATTCCGTGGCGCATAAGGCGCGAACCTATTACTAAATTTCTTTTTTGAGTAAAATTTTCGAGCCTTAATACGATTTTGAGACTGCAACTCGTGAAGACTTGGAGGTTGATATCCTCCAGCGTTATTTCCACCACTTATGGAACCCGGTAAGAGTTTATCCGTTCTCCTATTGTTTATCCTTTTGTCACTAACGCCCTTTCCCTTCCAATTGCCTCGCCCTGACCTCGGTTGCTTCATGTTTCCATAGTTAGGCTTCGAGAAGTTGCGATACTTCTTGTTAGGATCCAAGGGGAGCTGCGGGCGTGCCCATACCTTGTAGTTTCCACTCATCATAGGCGGCTGAGACTGATTCATGATCATCTGGGACTGCTGCATAGCCTGAGGTTGCGGCAAAAGATTTGGCTGATTGATGGCCTGCGACTGAGACATTATCTGAGGATGGATCATTAGCTGGCTTTGGCTGAGAAATTGAGGTTGGTTAATCACCTGCGGCTGATTCATAACTTGAGACTGAGGCTGGCTCATAACTTGAGACTGATTGATTACATGAGGCTGGTTTGCCATCTGCGGATGGCTCATACTAATCATTTGAGCTTGATTAATCATCGGATTCTGATCGTTCATGGTACAACAATATCGAATCGAAGACTTAGCAAAAGAAATAAAACCCTAAGAATTAAGAATTAAAGATCGGTCGATAATTTCTCCGTGTTGGTTTCCAGATCATAAAAAATCGGCAACCAGATCGAGAATTTATATGCCCTAATCGCAAACCTGAAACAAGTATGAAAATATTCGCAACGAATTAACCCTAAGAACCCCGTCTTCCTCAGAGAAGATTCAAGATGAAAAGTCTAGAAAATCCTTAGAACTTGGGAAGTATTTTTCGAGAGAAAGAAGTATTTCAACCACAATTTTTTCTCTCCGTGTCTCCCTTTAATTTGGGAAATCTGATCTCCAGGGAATTTTGATTTCTTGAGAAGCCGTTTACGGTCGGTCCGGGCGCCCCTTGAAGCTTATTTATAGTAGGGAAGACGACGGATGAACGGTAGATGATTTAGTCATCAGATTGAACTTCGTCATGACATGTGTCACACGATTCCCGTAAAGAATCAGAATTTATTATGGGCAAAATTACAAATCTCCACTCAACTTTCCCTTTCAAAACCACCACCAGTATCATCATTGGGCCAGTTCCACCTAAGATCTAACACAATATAAGCCCAAGCCCAACAATAATTTGATTAATGATCTAATCTATTATTAACTTCCTCAAATATCCTTTCTCAAAAAAATAAAAATAATTCATCAAATATATATGTTCGTTTCTAATTTTATAGATTGGTGGTAGGAATAGAACTTCACGATCACTTATACCATGTATTTTTCCATGAAGATTTGGATGATCAATGATCTTTGTGACTGGATGGTGAATGGTTTAGTTATTATTTATTTATTTTTAATTACAAGTCAATGATAAAGATGGAACAATGATCACCCTAAGAAAATGAATCGTGGTGAAAATACAAATTACTCACTTTAATTTATTTTGAATTAAAATTTCAAAACCAATATTTTCTTACTGTCATTATTAGGTCAGGCCAGCTTAGAATAATATTCAGATGAATCCATCATTTATCTATCTTAATTATCATATTAATCTTTTTTTTCCTCTATTTCTCTCCCTGTTTGTCAAAAATTGAACGGTGATACCAAGTATTTGTCAAATAATAAATGAAACAATTTTAAACTTTTAGTAATTTTATTTTTTTTCTTCCTTAATAAATGTACACCATGATATTGTATTTAATGAGAGATTTACGCATGTAAGTAGTATAGGGCACTATTTGTCGTTATTATTATTTTAAAATAACAATAATTATTATATTATTCCTAAATGAATATAATTATTATATTATATTATATATATATATATATATATATATATATTCAATTAACTTTAAATAGAGAATTTGAATTTTTGAGGAATGGGTGAATGTGCGGGGAATCAATTTGAGAGGAACAGATTACAATGCGATAATGATAAGAGAGACGTACAACATTTTTTTTTTAACCATTAAACATTTAATGATGATAGATTGATATTCTCTAATAGCAATTACAAAAAAGCATCTATTTTCATTGATGCTCTAAGGTGGAGAACTCTAAAAGTAAAAATTTGCAATTCGTTGACTAGTAAATTTTATTTATTTTTATTTTTTTAATTTTGTTGAGTAGGTGAAATTTGGTTGCATATTTTTATACAATCTAACTTAATTAGCAACTTCACCATTTACAAAACACTAAGAAGAGGAGGAAGTTTATTAGTTTTAGTTGAAAGTATCGCATACACCGCACAACCTCCAGACTCATTCATTTATTTATTTTATTTTTTCATCATATTGATTTGCTCTATGTAGCAGTGATTGACACCTAATTAAATACGTGGAACAAATGAAGTATGAAAAAGAGAGGTGAAAGAGGATATTATTGAATTCAGAGCTTGTTGTGGTACCAGAAAACACCCTTACTACTGGAGCCGGAAGTGGCCCCATCGTCTTCGTCTGGCTCTACATAAACGCACTCTCTGAATTCCCTCCAGGCCGCCTTCCAAATTGGGGTCCCATCAAACTGGTAGTACTCTCCCAGTATTCGCTTTGCTGCAACCGTCGCCTCTTTCCCGTTGTAGTGCGGCATCGA